TTTTTTAGGACCACATAGTATCCAACATCTGTTTAAATTGAAGGTTTAGTACACCTGTAATTTGTCCACCAAGCTATCCCCATGTTTCTCCTAGACTGCTGCAAAACCCTCCTAACTGGTCTCCTGTCTACTTTGTTTCCTTCTCCCGCCTCCCCCCCACCCAGTTGTTTTTCCACACTGATGACAGAGGGTTTCTTTTGGAGGGGATGAGGGGGTGTTAAAAAATACCTGATTATGTAATTGCTTAAAATACTTCAATGTCTTCTTATTGCTTTTTGGATAAAAAGCAAACCTCTTATCGTGGCCTGTTCAGCCTGTGTGGTCCAGTTCCTGAATGCCTCCAGCCACACTTCTTAAGGTGTATGTGGTGCTCTCTGTCTTACGTATGCTCGTTCTTGTGTGCTGGGAACAATCCTCTTACTCTCCCAATACCTTTCTTTTATATCTCTTCTTCTTTTGAATATCAACTCAGTCATCCCTACCTCAGGGAAGCCTCTGACTTTCCCGACTAGTTCCCCTTATTATAAGCTCTCATGGCACCATCTCTCTTTTTTCTTTGACACACTCATTACCATTGTCATTTTCCATTTATTTGTGATTCTTTCATTATTATCAGTCTCTTCCACTAGATCATAAGCTCCATGCATAGTTTTGCTTGCTGTTGCCTCCCATTGCCTCGCACAGTGTCTGGTGTAAGGAAGATGTTCAGTCTGTATTAGTTGAATGAATGAATGAATGAAGTTTTTGTTTATATTAGCTAAAAGGAAAACAGTTCTGTAGAACTTTAGTGATGAAGATCACTGAATATTTAGTGATAAATATTGGTCTTCATTCCAATTTTTATTCCCCTTATATATATTATTAAATAATTGAGTATATTGAAGTGATAGTATATAGAAAAAATCATGGAGTAAGAAAAAACCTCAGATGTCAGATAGTCCAGGCTTCTCTCTAATGTGTTGTGTTGGAGGCTGTGTGGCTTCTTGAACATCTCTAGCAACAGGGACTCACCATCAACAGAGACAACTCTGTTTTCTAATTTCTTCATGTTGAGTCAAAATTGGCCTGCTATGTTTTCTATGCTTTAGTGCCAGTCTCTAAAGTAATACTTAGTAGGTCTGTCTCCTATCCATATGGAACCCTTGCATATGAGTAGACAGCTATTATGTGTTCCTCTACCTTAATTTCTTTCTCCCAGCTCTTCCCTTCACACAATGTGCTACTGCCATATTGATTCTGGAAACAACCATGTCCTTCTCTCTCTCCTACAAACAACCATGTCCTCCTCTCTTCACACACCTTTTTTTTTTTTCACACACACACACATATGCAAACGCCCAACTCCCCTGGCTACTTCCTCCTTATCCTGTAGATTTTGTGGAGGCTTCTTTACACCCCTTCACCTTATTGTTAGTTGCCCCTTGTCTGTGCTCCCACAGCACCAGTTCATCCCCTTAAGAAGCTAGTATCACATTCTATTCTAAGTGATTCTTAATCCAGACAAGATTAGGGAGACCATATCTCAGCAGTGCTCATCATCATGCCCTCCATTGTCTGCTTAGCACCGTGCCTGACATGGCAGTAAGCATCCACTACGTTGTTGACTGCATAAATTTGAGAACACCAACTTTACCATTCTTCAAGTTAGCATCTGCAGAGTTTTTTCTTTTTCCCCCCAGCTATTCATATGGCCATATGTGATTTCACCATCTGGATATGCTCCAGCTTGTCAGTGTCCCTCCTTAAGAGAGGCATTAAGAATAAATCAGAGTGCTCCAGGTGAAGTATGACCTGGACTGTGTAAAACATATCATCTCTGTAAGTTTAGAATTCTAGGAGTTTTTTACGCTCAAGAGCAAAATTTCTTATTCTGCTTTGGTTGTGAGCTGATTTTTGAGCTGTGGGCATTTTCAGTTTATCTCAGTACTGCTTTTTTTAAAGGTGTTAATGAAGTGAATTTAAAGAAATGGTGTTTTGGAAACAGTTATTTAATTTACTCAAGCTGTTATTCTGTCCTCCGGCTTGTTAACTACTGTCTTACTTGAAAATTAATGGCCAGAGGTGTGCTTCTCTGAATGCCTCTCTCTATTTTTGTCAGTCTATTATAGCTTCTTTTCCTGCCCTTTTCAGTACTACTGCAAGGAGGCAAGTGTTTCAATGATACATGATGTTTGGGGCGGTGGGAGGTTTGGGAAGAATTCCTTGATTTTTCTTATTTGGGGAGGAGAAAAGGAAGCAATATTTATAGGAAATTATATCCTGGCAGAGTGGGAAAGACTTTTTGGCAGATAGAAAAAAGGGAGTAGAAGAAAGAGAAAGTCTAAGAGTCAAAAAAAAAAAAAAAAAAAAAAAGATGGTAAAAAGTAACAAGGAGAACCAAAAAAAACCTGTTGTTGTCGAGTCAATTCTGACTCACAGTGACCCTATAGGACAGAATGGAACTGCCCCATAGGGTTTCCAAGGAATGGCTGGTGAATTCAAACTGCTGACCTTTCAGTTAGCAGCCATAGCTCTTAACCACTGTGCCACCTCATAGCTGTTGTTCACTGATCACCTACCATGTGATTCCACAGTGTTACATACTTTAGCCATGTTGTCTCTTATCCATGCATTGACTATGAAAAGTAGATGTTGTTACCTTCATTTTACAGAAGAGGTGACAGCCTCTGATTCCTAGCTAGTGAGTGGCAGAAGGGCATTCTTATGGCCTTTAGGCGTTTCTGGTTCTAAAGCCACACTGTTCTAATTTGACTTAGCAAATAATTTTGTGAATGAGCTGAAATAGATGGAGAGTCACTATAGTATAGTGGTTAAGAGTGTATGTAGACTCTAGAGCCAGTTGGGCTGGGTTCAGATCCTGGCTTTACCACTTACCAGCTGTGGTACATTGGGCAAGTTGCTTTGTTTCTCCATGTGCCTCAGTAAAATTGGGATGATTGTAGTACCTTCTGCTTAGGGTTGTTGTGAATTAATTTAGTTAATATATAGTAAAATGCTTGGAACAGTTCGTGACATATAGAAAGCACTTTATAAGTGTTTGCTGCTATTATTATTATTATCATTTTTATTAGTTTGTGTGTCCTCTTTGAAAGGTCCTTTCTCTGGGAAGTTTGAAGAAAATGTTGTTAAGACTGTTGCTAGAACCACTTCATTAATGTGACTTGGAGTTCTTACTGTGTCATCATATCGCTCATCCCTAACCATATCCTGCTTTAACACACACATACACACACACACACACACACACACAAACTCATCTTTTTCTTTCACTTTTAGAAGAGCTTATTTAGACATCCTCTTTAATATTATTATAAAAGAAGGGAAGAGTGAAGATTCACCTTAAGTAATACATACAGCATCTAGTAGCGTAAGTTAAATTTTGCATTTCAAAGCAACAAATTTAGAAAAAGTTCCCATTTTACATTTTCTTGTTCTAAAATAGGTGCTTCCCAGCCTCCCTGCATTTCATGTCCATAGGATTTAAACTGATTGTTACATGATAATGAAGAGCTTTGGAAATTTCTAATGCCTACTTGTTTCTATTGTGATGTAGCTTAATTACCTTAACTTCTTTTTCCTAGGATATTAGAACTTCTTTTCTAAAACTACTAACCCTTCTAACTTGCTGAAGATCACTTACTCAGTTAAGGAGAAAATACAAGAAGTAGAAAAAGAGCTATTTGCAGAGAGACTGAAGATCTGTCTTGTTTTGAAACTAATGAATAAGCTCATTAGGGACCCTTTTTTAAATTTCTTTTTGGAGGCTTGAGAGGCAAAGTTTGTTTATTTTTTAAGTAATGGATTAACTCATTAATTTTGGCTTTGTTAACTTAATTAACTTAAATTGATTCTTTGTTCATAACTCACTGAGGAAGTCTTAATGATTCAATGAAGTATTACAATACTAATTTGAAGTGTTTTTTTCACTGAATTTAAGAACTGTATGTGTATATTTTGTGTATGCTATGATTATATCATCTAGTTGTTTAGTGCTCGTGAGCATGGTTCTAAAAATTAGTTTATTATACTGCTCATACCAAAAAAAAACACAAACCCATTGCCATTGAGTTGATTCTGACTCTTAGTGACCCTATAGGAAAAAGTAGAACTGCCCTATAGGGTTTCCAAGGGGTGGCAGGTGAATTCAAACTGCTGACCTTTCGGTTGGCAGCCGAGCTCTTAACCACTGTGCCACCCGGGCTCCATACTGTTCATAGTTTTTTTTTGTGTGTGTGTTTTTTTTTAATGATGCTATTTAGTTCTTATATGAGAACCACTTGGCAATACTTAACAAATTTAGGTAGTTCTGGAAAGTATTTCTAGCCTCAGTTATAGCAGTAATTATAAAATTACCGTCCTCATAGCTATATATATATATATATGTGTGTGTGTGTGTGTGTATATTTTATATATATATACACATATATATGACATTCTAAGGCCTTATTTTTGCCTAAAATGATGATGCTTTGCATAAATAATAGGAAATGGCAAGATGTTTGCTGATGACATCCATTTCTATTTTGTCTGTCAAATGAATTCTTAAGTCATTTGGATTTGGTTTAATTCTTTCATTCTCTAAGCTTCTTCTCTACCTGTGGCCACTCCCCCTTACCACCATCACCACCAAATATAACTTTATCCAGCCCTACAATTTATATCTCAGTTGCTATCAACCTCATTCAAAACAGTTTAAAACTATGTATTCCTCTTGTTATCAGAGCAAATGGTTAAGGTTGACAGTGGGAAGACCCAGGAGGGAGCCAGATCATCAAGCCTCACCAATTAAGATCCTCACTTTTAAAACCAGCCATGAAATTCTCTAGTTGTTTCCTGAACTCATTGCTTCCTCGTATTAATTCGTTCTTCCCCCAACCCTGGTTCTTTTCAACAAGTCCCATTGTCCAGTTTTAGAGGTATGGGCATATGTGCAGCAATTTTCTAACTTGAGTTGATTGACCCTGTGAGAGTATGTTAATCCTTTCTTTATTTGTTGGCAGGAGGCTTGTACATGACAGCAGGAATAACCTCCAGTTGAGAGGCTTGGTGGTGCTACTTATTTCTAAAGCAGCTGGGCCCAGCAATGTGGATGCTTCATGTCAGAACTGTGACATGGTCAGTGGGATCTATTCATGGTAAGAAGAAATTCACTTTTGACATTGCTCTCTAAATTATATTTTCATTTATTGAACAGTGGTCAGTGGAAATCACTGTGCAGCTCTTTGTCATTCTCTGATTCAAACAGTAAAATATCTTGTAAGGTTTTAAAAATGGATTTTTATTGTTCCTTATAACTCTGGTACTTTTGGCCAGCTTCCATGCATGACTGGGATATTTCTCCATAAATTTTATCAAATACTTTTATTTCTGCCCTGGGCATTTAAAAATTTCTGTTTATCAACCCCCACCCCTACCCCCCTATACACACATACAGTTATGGTATCGTTCTATCTCTGTAGAAACCTCTATGCCACTCAGTCCAGGGTTTCTGATTTTTAAACCTACTCAAAATGGTAGCTAGTTGTATAAATAATAGTGGGCCTACCGTTTCATGAGAAGTAGTCTATTTCAGTGCTATATAAGTTATTTGATTTTATTTACTTTTATGGTGAAAAGGTTTTTTATTAAAGTTATTGGAATAAGCACATATTTATATCTCACACATTTAGATTAAAAATAAATTTATGAGTATGTGTTAGTCATTTTTTGCTGAATAATAACAACCTTAAATTTTTCAGTTTTGTTTAAAAATTACTGTATATATTTTTAGTAATAGTATTATTGCAAAAGTTTTATATAATCCTAACAGTATGCTTGGCACTGTATTAAAAGCCTGTATAGAAGTAACAATCTGCAGGTGAAATCTGGTATATAGAACATTTTCGTTAATTATTATACCTAAAAACATGGGTGACAAAGAATTTTTCCTCACAAAAACAAGCATTTCTAGAAACTTTGGTTTATGGCTAATTGGCCTAGTTGATTTACTTTAAAATGAACCCACATCTCAAAAATTTTTTATTCCTAGTGATCTTATCCAGAACTTTTTTTCTTCTATAGTATTTGCGTTGCTTGCCAGCTATGAAGTCCAGTCCTTTTTTATTAACAATCAGTCATGGCTACGAACGACCTGTCCTTCAGCCAGTATAATTTTGCCGACCCTTTACCATTTGTCCATACAAGTATCTAGACTAGAAGGGAAACCTTGAGATCATTTTCAGTTCCACACTCTGAAATAATTTATATTTGTTTAGTGCTTTGTAGGTTACTGATCATTTTTATGACAGTTATCCCATTTGACCCTTAGAATAGTGCCCTAAGGTAGGCATTGTCTTTTTACTTATTTTACTCTTGAGAACAACTGAATCTCAAAACTTTTGAGACTTTTTCAAGGTGATGCAGCTGGCAAATGGGGAAAGTTGAGGCTTACTCCATATCATGTGTTTTTTTTTTTGTTGTTGTTCCATTCCAGCTTTCTAGTCTGTTTCACTTGTAGCCTGACACTTGTAGAGCAGACTAGCCATTAAATTTGTATGCCACAATAAGGTCTTGCTTCTTGTAAGTATGTCTTGAAAAACTTCTGAATGGAAAGCAACTTGGCAAATCGTCTTTAATATGTGTATATCCTTCCCCGAAATCTGTTTTGAATTAGAGTTCAAACCTTTACCTTATAAATTTTGTAGAAAACTTGTGGCTAAGTTTAATTGAAATAACTAGAGAAAATACGTAAAGAACAACAATGAATACCAATAACCTGTTAGTCCCTGGAAATAGATCTCCACTACCTTGTATTTCATGTTTCTCTGTTTCTTCTTAGTAATCGCATCAAGTTTCAGTCTGCTGACTTTCACCCCGTTTTATTGGTCAGTCATCTGCTCTTGCGTTTGGGTAACCACACACACTATTAATGAACACCAGCTATGTTTCGTTGTCTCTAATCCTAAAACAACCCTTGGAAAGTACTACCTGACACATTAAAAAAAAAACCTGTTGCTGCTGAGTCTTTTCTGACTCATAGCAACCCTATTTTACAGATGAGGAAACCATTACTGAGATTCAGACTTTTCTAAAGTCTCCTTGGTAGAAGGTAATAAAGTTGGGATTTAAATCCAAATTTTGCTATAAAGGTTGTACTCTCTTTACTATGTACTGGTTATTGTTTGTATAAACATGGTACAATATGATGTGACCTTGTGTTTCTAATTCACTGTCCTCTAAGAAACAGTTGCATTGCCTCTTGATCCTCCATGGGAACCTTAATGCATTTGGTACATGATTGTTATAATCTGAGCAATTGTAAAGAACTTTGCAAAAGTATAGATATACACTATGAACACAAAAACTTTCTAAATAACCTAAGTGGGTTTTAATACCCAGGTGTATAGAATCCCCAGTTACATTGAGGGAATAATTCTGGTGTGGTTCCAGGCTATTTCCTGTAATTGGCCTTGATCTAGTAAGTCATTGGTGTTGCTTGGATATTTCACACACTGCTTAATGTGTAAAACATAGCTGGTCTTACTGTGAAAAAGTAATTTGTTATAGTACTATGAGAAACCATTAAGTTGGTTCTCTACCCCTGAAGTCATTTGTTTGGCTTCTGTTTCCTTAATTGTTCAAGTGTAACTTTTGCTGGAGGCTTGTATCTATAATGCCACAGTGAATTATTTAACATTTGAGGGAAGTACTGATTTGGGAGCTTTTTAATTCACCTTCAAACTACTGGGATTTACATTGTTGATGTTTTTCTCTCATAAACTTGACTTTGATGCCAGATAATGGAACCTGAGTAAATTACATAAGGGACCAAAAGTGAGTTAGGGGACCTCTTTTGTTTGGCCTAAGGATGTAACCTGTGCTTGTGGATGTGCCTGGTGAACTTTTCACATAATGGCCAAGAGAGGATGAATTTAGGCTAAAATGTAATAACTACATTTTGAAAAATAGACAAGAGATCCACATTTATAAAAACGCATTATAAACGTTTATCATAGCCTTTTGCCCACAAGACCATAGGCTTTAGGTTTATACCACCAACCTTGACTTTTAAAAAATTGGTTGCAAAAGTGACCAATCAAAAAAGTATTACTGAATTTGCAAGTATCCCTAGCTACAACTGAGAAAATAAGTGTACAACCTCTTCTATTAATGATGGGATATTTTTATTTTGTGTATAAGAGATAAAAGGAGTGGCACAGTGGTAAAGTACTTTGTTGCTAGCCAAAAGGTTGGTGGTTTGAACCCACCAGCTGCTCAGCAGGAGAGAGATGTGGCAGTCTGCTTCCATAAAGATTTAAAGCCTTGGAAACCCTATGGAGCAGTTCTACTCTGTCCTTATAGGATCACTGAGTTGGAATCAACTCGATGGCAATGAGTTTTTTATTTTGGTACAAGAGTTAGGTCATTATAATATATAATATGTAATATTACAAAGTATAGACTTTTCTAATATACAATATATTAAGTTTAAAGAAGTTCAGGCAAATTTTTTTTACTAATGGCTTTGCTTTCTCAGTTATTTTAAGAGCTGACTCAAGTATTTCTCATCGAACGAACAGTTATGAGCTAGACCTCACAATGAACATGTTTCTACCCTACCCTTATTCCCTGAAATTTCACAACACCTCTTTCTACCTTTGGTGTAAGAGATTCAAATGAGTTCACCTTTTGTTTTCTTCCTGAGTACCCAACTAAACTACATTTCCCATCTTCCCTTGCAGTTGACTGTGACCATGACTGAGACCTAGCCAATAGAAGTGATGCTTACCATTTTATTGCATTTGCAATACTTGTTAAGTAGATGACCTTGGAAGTTACCCATTCAAGATGAAAAGTACCTATATCCCTGAATCATTCTTGGAGTGCCACCTGCTCATCAGGAACATCTATATAGACTTTATATGTGAGACAAAATATCTGCTTATTAGACCACTTAAATTTTGGGGTTTATCTGTTACTGCAGCAAGCATTGTCTTAGTTAATATACATGTACTGTTTCTGTTAATGCTATCTCCATTCAGTCACCCAGTTATCCCAGTGAATTTGGTAATCTTTAATTACTCCTATTCTTTCACTTTCCATACCCAAAAAGCCACCAAGATACAAATTTCTATGCATGGCATATAGTAAACATTCTTTGTTTTTTCTTTCACTCCATTTCCATTCTTCTTTGTCAGGCCTTTGTTACTTCATATCTAAACATCAGCAATAGCTGTCTATCTGGTCTCCCTGTCTCTAGATGCTCCTTCAAAATTTCAGTTGCTAAATTGAACATTTTAAAGCTCTGCTTTCATCACTCATTCAACTATTTATTAAGCACTTACTATGTGCTAGGTAGACCTCCTGGGTGGCACAAATGGTTAAGTGCTCAGCTACTAGTTGAGAAACTGGTGGGAAACCCTGGTGGCGAAGTAATTAAGAGCTATGGCTGCAAACCAAAAGGTCGGCAGTTCGAATCTACCAGGCGCTCCTTGGAAACCCTCTGAGGCAGTTCTGCTCTGTCCTATGTGGTTGCTATGAGTTGGAATCGACTCGATGGCAATGGGTTTGTTTTTTGTTTTTTTTTTAATCCACCCAGAGGTATCTCAAAAGAAAGGCCTGGCTATCTACTTCCAAAAGATCACAGCCATTGAAAACCCTACGGAGCACAGTTCTACTCTGATACACCTGGGGTTGCCATGAGTCAGAATCGGCTCAACAGCAACTGTTTGTTTGCGTGTTTTTTTGTTTTTTCACATGTGCTAGGTACAGTGCTCAATACTGGAGAAGCAAGCTAAATAGTGCATAGTATTTGCCCTCAGTGACCCATGGTAATGCAGTACTATAGGTGCTGTTACTGGAGTATAGACAGAACAGAGTTCTGTGGAGGAATTAATGATGTTGAGAGAAAGAGAGGAGAAAACTTCAGAAAAAGTGACCATTTGGGTTTCACAAAATAGACAGCTTATAAGTGAGCTTTGAAATTTACTAGGTCATCAGTTGGAGGAAGGCAGGTGTGGGGGGGGGCAGGTAAGGGGAAGTTGTATGCAGATCGGGGAAGCAAGAAGCGTCTGACCAAAGACATGGTGTGTCAAAGTACATGACATGGCCCAGAACAGTGCTGACACTGTAATAGGCACACGGTACCTCATTGTTC